TTGCAGGTCTTTGTATTTTCTCCAGTTCTTTCTCTTCTATTCTGCTGTCTCCAGGTATTATTGCCTTCAAGTCACTCTTGACTCCTGGCAACTGCCTGAACTAGTCCCTGCAGTTTTCTTGGCAAGATTTCAGAAGTGGTTTGCCCTTGCCTCCTTCCCAGAGCTGAGAGAGAGGGACTGGCCCAAGATCACCCAGCTTTGTACCTAAGGTGGGATTAGAACTCACAGTCTCCTGGTTTCTAGCCTGATTCCTTAACCACTACACCAAACTGGCTCTCTCAGGAGAAGATTGCATGGGGCTAAAAAAAAAAAAATCCAAATTACCACTAGAGGCCACCAAGAGAGTGAGTTTTCTGGATTTCTTTGCTACTGCCTAGTGGATGTCTGGATGATTGCAGCCAAATTCTGGTAGCCATAGGATGAAGCGCATTCCTTCATCTGGCTTTCCAAAAAGCATAAATGTTGCCTTTTTATTATGCTATACTGTCCCCCAACTCCAGCCAGAGGACTTTTGGCAGTGAGAAACAGAGGTGGAACCGACTGCAGGTCTCCAGTCACAGCTCCGATAGGTTTATACTGGTTTGGCTGGGAGAAGCAAGATTCTTCTCCATAAAATTGCTGTGCAACATGTCTCTCGAAGAATCTCACTTCAGTCCCACAGGCATCTCCAAACAGTTTTTAAAAGAAATCAGGAAACGGCATATTCTCAGGGTAACTCTCTTTTCCAATAGCTCTGGAGGGCGGCTATGCAGCTCAGGTTTTGCCAGTTGTGGCCCAGGAGCGTATCTGCTTTCCCCGCAGGATGGGTGCGAAGGGGCGATTCAAGCAAGGGGCCTGTGTCGGTCATGCTGCACCAATAAGTTCAGAAGAGCAGGCCAAGGGGTTGGGAAGGAAGATGCTGGCCTGGTAACTCAGTGGGCTTTATTGGCAGCATTTCATGCATTGCGGACAAAGCATAAGTTTGCAGTGGTGTCTTTTTCCACTGTAAGAAAGGATAGTGAACTGCAAACTTTCTTTAAAAAAAAAAGTCACTTCAGACCAATGAAGGGGATTTGCTCCTTGGTCTCTGCCTTATAAACTGTTTAGGCAGGCAATGCCTTTTTTTGTTGTTGAACTTGTCCATTGGATGGTGAAGAACCATAAGCCATCCTTATTTTTTAAATCATTATTGCAGATTTTATTGATGAATTATAGATTATAGGTATTTCATTCTGCCTCAAACATTCCATTCCCATTTTTCTTAGGGACATTCTGATACATAGCCACATAATGACCGATGGAAGAACGCTTTGCCCATGAAAGGCACAAGGGCAGGAAAGGTTAACTAAAGAGAACAGGTGTTTTGGTGGATCTGGCTCAATTGTAACAACTGAGGGGCATAAAGGTCCAAAAACAAATCTACCATGGTTCATTCTGCAAAACAGGGAGTTACATACTTGCAGTGTGAATTAAAACGGATGAATACGTAACCCATTAAGAAATGAAATTGGGCATTCTAAACCTGTTCAGTTTATTACTGTTTCTCAAACTACCCCTTCAACAGTGAACAGTTGACCGAGTTTCTGGAAATAAAGTGGGAGTCACCCTAAATTCATGTCCTTTCTAGGATATTCAGAGCGTTCTTTAGTATGTTGGTAAAGATGCAAGGTCAAAATAGCCCGAAAATACAAATGAACTTCAGGATTTAATGAAATGTTAAAGTGTGTCAAGGGATAAAACCAGTAATAGTTTTAGCATATACTTTAGTAAATACTTTAAGAATTGGCAAATATGTGCTGTGTAAAAAATCTCCTTCAAGTGGAGCAAGGTTGGCCAGATGTAACAACAATCTCCTCCCTTTCTTGTGCTACATGAATATTTCAGAAGAGGGAAAAGGAAAATCAGAATCCACTCTCTAGAATATCTTTCCACATATTTGCAATAAAATGCTTTAATTTGGGGGCTGGCAGCATAAGAATGCTTCATGTAAAAAGAGCCAGAGGTGTGTTCTTTCACCTACTCCTGAAAACTAGTTCTGCCTATTACTATATGGTTGAGGTTTTTGTTTTTTTACTATAGGTTGCCTAGACCTCTAGCAATAGCTTTGGTCAGAGCATGAAAAGGATACATAAACACTTTGATACTCAAATGAGTGAGAAGCAAAATGGGGAAGCACAAAAATAAGGGGATTATTTCGATATAATTCTAGGATGGGATGTGTTCAGGATGGAGTAATATAGATTATGGTAAATTCAAACTTAAAACCAAACATTCCAGTAATGAAACTGAGCTGTTTTGATTGGTAGCTTGTTCAGTCTACAATCATTTTTTTTGTCTGAACAAATAATGTTTAAGTTCATACTATATACAAAGAATATGTGCTCCTGTCTTTGTTACCGGTTATGTGGAAGGGAAGAGGCCGTAAGTATACTCATAAAAATAAACTGTGTTGCGAGGTTTTAAGGAAGTGCTTTGTGCTATAATTTCAGGAGAAAAAGAAGGGGCAAGGCATCTTTTCCCACACATTCTCTATGGAACAGTAGAATGAGGGTCACATGATTACCATTTTTGACCTACCCAGCCAGCTTCCGACAAGCAAAGTCAATGGGGAAGCCGGCAGGGAACATCGCAAGTCAGAGTCACGTGGTCTCGTTTAATGACTTGTGGTGATTTGCAAAATGACCATGACAAAAAGGTTGTAAAATCAGGTGCAGTCACGTGATGCCTCACTTAACGACTATGCTTAACAACAAATTTTCCAATCCCTATTGTGGTTGTTAAGTCAAGGACTACCTGTAAAATTAGAAATGGTTATTTTCTTTACACATAAATCTGTTTTATTCATTTCTCTGTGATGCATGTTTTTCTTCCCACAGTCAACTTAGGAAATAGTTTTGGGAATAGCTCAGAAAAATGATTTATACAGTATATACCTAGAGTCACAATTCAAAAGATCTACAAAAGGCAGTATCACAAAGTTAAATTGGAACTTTATTATCCAATTTTAAGTACTTACTTTTGGGAAGTAAGAGAGAGAATAGCATGTATGAAAGGCAAGGAAAAATAATGGCTGTTCTGAATGTATTATTTTGATAGGCAAGAATTTTAGAATGAATAAAAAGGTACTGGAATCTAAAAGTAACAAAGCATGAACCTTAATACTAAAAAATAAACAAAAAACGTAACAGCGTTTTTAATCAGACAACAAAGATTTTCCACAAAACCCCAATTAGAAAGACATCCAGGTAATTGCAATCTTTTAAAAAAATAATTTATAATATAATTCATTATTGGAATTTCTTTTCCCATTATTTTATCCCTGATAACTGCAGAGATAACAAAATTGCCATTCCTAAGATAGGCAAAATTTTGTGTAACAGTAGCCTGTGATCTTATTAATCACCATGGGATGAGGGATAAAGAATGTAACAGCTTTTTTTCCTAGTTGATTCACATTTTCTTTGAGCTGTTTGCTACTTGAAGCCCATTATCTAATTAGACTATAATTTAAAAGATTTTTTTTAATGTTGCATAATTGCTCTTTGTTTCCTGTTATCTATGTTACAGGAATCAAAATCTAGAAGAGTCCCTGAGATATTAAATTTGTGTAGAATAGCTACAAGTATCCTTAATATATGAAAACTAGTTATTTAAGTCTTTCCTAATAGGATGTCAACTTCAAAACAAAAGCAAAAAAACCTTTGTTTACTTCCAAACCATGTTTACTTTCTGATCACTAACACCAAGCATTGCTTCTCATTATGTAATAGAAGGGTATTTTGAAAGGAGGCTGAATTTATCTTTTCTGAGAAAGTGAAATAAGCTGAATAATTCTGAAGAGAAATGGTTTTACTTCTTAAAACACCAAATTCCACTGTACTTCTAATCTGAAGAGTCTGGTTTATTCCAACAAGTAGAATACCAATAGTACCACCTTAGTGAGAAGGAACTGAGCTTGAATGGGCTCCCTTATCTCAGACACAAATGCAGAACAGGAAATGTCTGCTGATGTCAGCAGCTCCTCATTCAGTATCACTGCTGCTGAAAGGAGGCACTGAAAAGCTGCTTCTGCTTTTCGGGAGGACTAATTGTTGCACACTTATTTAAAAAGCACATCTCTTAATCTAATCAATATTGTAGTTCTAGATTTTTTACAATAGCTGTTATCAAATGTATAAGGTTATATCTTTATGAAGTGTTACAGATTATAAGGATTTCACTAACCACATTGTTTAAAGTAGGCAAGCAAAGCAACTGAAAATAAATTTGAGGTCACATTTGAAACACCAAGAATAAATATGTGTCCTCCTATACACTAAGTATTCACTTCCCCTGAGCTCTAACTTTCAGAATAATGAAACAGAAGATCATAAATAGTTCTGCATATTATATGCATATTACAAATAGTCTACTTTAAATCAGACAATTCTTAGGAATTAAAAAACTGAATAATCTTCATTGCTGAACATAAATGTCAATTAATTGAATATATAATACAAAACTTTGTTAGCCATATACAAACTGCAACTAGCAGAAAGCCTTTTTTACATGTTCCCTCTGCCTTCCAAATCCCTTTTCTTCTTATAAAGTATCATTTCTTTTGCAGATTCATTAAAAATTTAAGTATGTATAATACAATCGTGTTAATTCAAACACGTGAAACATCTGAACACCTACCAAAATAGATTTAAAACACCATACCTGTCTAAATGGAGACAGACATATTAAAATATAATGTCTAGAATCGGTCAGCAGCGTATAGTTAGAGAAGAAATTATGCAAGACACAGTCTGTCTACTTTGGGACACTTATAGGAGTAATGTGACATGCTATTTCCTTTGAGCTCAGTGTAGATTGAAGTTATACCTGCATGTACAACAGTTTTCCAACACAGGAAATGAAGGAAATGTTAAAATGAAGGAAATGTTCAGTTTGCAGAGCTTCACATGATGTGCACAGTACTATAGGTTAGAATTGTGGATCCTAGCTAGCTATTAGCAGCTTCTAAATTAAATTATTTACTGTTGCAGCAACAACTCCCCAAAGCTGAAAACAAACTTGGATTATTTTCACAATTATCATTTGCTTTATAAATAATTTCATGACTTACTGTATATATCTTTTCCAACCAGTTTCAGGGGCATCTGAAATGACACACACTGGCTTCAAAATGGTGAGAATGACTGGATGATCAAAGCGCTCCCCCTTGTACACATAAAAATGGGCAGGGCTTGGGTTGCCTAGTCTCGCCTGCCTTTTGAAGCCAGTGACCATTACTGCAGAGGCTCCTGTCCAGTTTCAGGAGATGTTAAGATATCTCTAAGCAGTTCTTCATGAAATACATGCAAGCAGCTTCACTCACAAATAATCTTATTCCTTATCACTTGGAAATAAACAGTCTTGCTACTATTAATTAAAAACTTAAAATATTTTCTATTTTTCTATTAGAAAATCAATTCTATTCAATGTTTCTTTTTCAGAGAGACAATGTTCTTCTTCAGTAGTTTTGGTGAATCTTTATTAAAGTGCATCATGGTATTATTCAATATAAGTTAAGTTTCTGTGTTGTCTTTTCAAAACAGAAGTCAGTACATGGGTGTTATCCTATTAAGGGATCATCATCATCTTCCTGAAGCTGAAGTCTTGAAAATGGGCGTAGAGAAGGAGTTCTGTTCTTCGTGATTATCAGAAGGCACATCAGAGTAGTTAATATCATAAAGACACCAATAACTATTCCAATGGCTTCTGGAACATTTATGCACCATTGGTCAATTAATAAACACTTGGTATTGCTCAAGGTGCCATTATTAGGCTGGGGTTTCAATCCTAAAATATGACACATCATTGGATAAATATCAACAGTACGAATTGAATTCAGTCTGTAATTTTTACGGAAGGCAGGTCCATGAGCTGCCAAAAATGGCTGCATACTTGGAAGAGTATCATCATAGCCATGGTCTCCTACTGAAAAATAAAGAACCCAAAAATTATTAATGTCCTACAAAGATTTAGCTAACAGTTATTTCCCTAGTAAACATAGCCCTGCCATTACAGATTTATAGCTTAACTGTTTTTTCAATAAGCTATTGTTTTCGGCTTGGTTAAATATTCAATTCTATTAAATGTTTCTGTTTTTTAAATTGTTAAAATGGCATATTCTTTGCCAAAAGTGAACAATCAATCTCCAATAAAATCAATTTGTTATTTAAGAAGAAAGGAGGTAGAGTTTCCCTATTGGATGAATAGTAACAATTGTTTTATACAGAAAAAAAGAAATAATTACATTTTAGGACAGTGCCGCAGTGGGGATTATGACAAATATATTAACTCTGAGGATGAAGGAAGTAGTTTAACATTATCACCTATTAAAACAACCTGCTTGTCAGGCTAAGAGTTGTGCATCTTTTTGCTGTATCTCTATGAGAAGATCTCTTGTTATTTCCATCCCCTGCTTGTTAAGTTTCAGTACTTATTACTCTAATGAAATGTTTTCATTCATCTCTGTCACCCCAGAGAATAGTCAAATGTATTGCATAAACTTCTTTCAGGATATTCTTATACTGTTCTCTTAGAACGTAATATTCTGTAGCCATCCCACTGAGCTTGAGTTGCCACACACCCCCTTTCCTATTTCAGCAAATTTTGGGGTTCCCTGATATGACAATATCAATCTCTTGTTTCTCAATGGTCCTATTTTGGCTACATAACCATAACAAAAAATTTGAGTTTTCTGTTCATACCTATGATATATAATATCTTTTTTGGTCAATACTGGTTATCAAAGCAGCTTACATGTTAAGTTCTTAATTCTATTGTAAGCAGGAAGGAGACCAAACCAATAAATAAATTTAAAAAACCAACCCTTTTTAGTCTTATTGTATTTTAAATTGTTCTTGTCCTGCTTAGCTACCTAAGCTAATTAGCTATTATTTCTATAGATTTAGCAGAACCAATTGCTGAATCTCCCTTCCCCCTCAAAAGAGTCACAATCAATATTCTGAGACTGCAGAGATCTTTTTTTCCCCATTAGAATGAAGTTTTCAATCACAAAGGGCTACACCTGAAGAACATTATGCTAAGAAAGGTCTTCAATGCTGTCCAGATCTCAACCCCAAACTTCCTGCTGATAAACTTTATATCTGTCTAACAGGAGTGTCTGTACACCAAGTGTTTCTCCTTACAATCCTTAGTTTGTTAAGCTGATGACTGTGCTCCAAACTTCTAAATGAGATGCTGCCTGATTTATAATGGCCCATTATTTTCCAAAGGGGATTTTTTTGGCCCAACATTCAGTTCTAAATATCAGTACCATCTCTAGCCTGACCAGGTGCAGCAGTTATGAAGAGCAGATGAGTTCTGTCCATCACTCACATACACAAAGTAACCTAACCCACTGCATTTAGTAAGAAAAGGTGATTTTGGAACTGCGTATGTTAGGAAATAGGGCAATCCAGTTTATTATTGTGCTGAATTTCTGTATTCACAGAATTAAGTGGAATTTATTAGTTAAGAAAGAATCTAAACTTTAGTGCTTTCAGATGTTGAAAAGCATGCTGTATTTTCAAAAGTTTTCAATTTTTTAATGCTTCTACACCCTACATAACCATATCCTCCCTCCACCAAAAAAGGAGCTATATATTTTAATTAGTAAACATTAAAAAAACTTACATCTGGGAAGAGACCCATTCTGTACTATTGTCCAGCCTTCATCTGCAACCAAAATTATTGGCTGAATGCGCTTATTGTGATGGTAATGATATCGGTCTGGAATTTCTTCTTTAAGATAAACCTTCATATAAGGGCTGCACTTTTTCATTAAGTTATATACATGTGTCACATCTGAAAACATTAAGTAGAAATAAACTGTGTCATTTATTATTGCAAATATAAAAAGTACACTCATATTCCCTAAGAGCGGTAAGTTTGACGTGGCTCTCATCCAGTCCTATCTCAATATACTTACTTTTAGAATGTACTTAAGAGTTAAATCACTCTTGATTTTAAGTATGCAACTAGGGGTGTGCAAGACATTCTAAGCCAAAATGTCCTGCACTTGAAATGCCACATCCAAGTATTTTGAGCTCAGAATAAAACACTGTTTTGTTCCAAGCTCAGAACTGTTCTTTCAAGTGTTTCAAACATCCTAAGTTCTCAAACACTGTGGTGTTATATTTGTTTCCAGCACAGCCAGTAGAATAGCAGAAACACTTCTATTCCTGCTCTTACTGGATGAGGGGAAAGGGGGATAGGAAAAATCGGCCCAGAGTCAGATGCTGATTTGCTTGCATACAGGGTACTTCTGGATGGCTTATCACATACTTAAGACAGGGTGGAAATTGCTTTCAGTTTTCTGCCTGCAAGGTAAGTAAGTTTTAGGGGTTTTTTTTAAAAAAAATGTGGTTATGGGGAAAAGTTCATGGATGATATGCAAGCAAATAAGCATTAGGGAAATGTGAAGGTTTGTGCTGTATTGTGTTTTTAATAATGATGAACTTTTTAATTTGCAAGCTTCAAAATGGAAATGTTCCATTTGTTGAGCATTAGTGCATCGCTCTATGTATGCTCTTGGTTCATGTCAAATTTATTTTATTATTTATTGTTGCTGGCAAATAGCCAGAGTGCTGAATTTTTGCTGCTGCTAATGCTCTTTGAATAAACTGAACTGTGCTGCAGGCTGCTTTCCACTAGGCCTCTGTGGCTATTTGTAATAGGGAGGATGCATTTAAAAAAAACAAAACAAAACCTTCTCTTATCTATGACTCATGGAAATTTTTAAAGTTTAAATCATTATCTCTTTCATCAGCATTTTTACAAGTTTGGTGGTAGTTAACAGTCAATATGGACTATCATCTCACCTACTTTTATTGCCCTACAGCAAAGAATGAGAGAGCAAGTGATCTCTTTCAAGTTCTCTTGGTATCTATGGTACAAGACTCAAAATGTTTGATACTTGTTTTATGTGTAACATGGAATATTCCAAGATGAGGAGTTCGTATTGATGAACACAGCCACTCTGAACTTTCTGAAGTTTGGCTGAGCTCAGAATAAGAGTTTTCTTATTTCATGCACTTTTCTATACACAAAAACCAATTTAAACAAAGATAATTTTAGAAATATGCAGTGTTAATCATGGTATGATTGGAATAAGCTTCCTTTATATATTGACCTAAACTAATATATGTGATATATTATTAGTCTCAGTTGAATTATCCAGAATGGAAAATTCAAGCTTCTCATTCAGTATTTCTCTAATCAGAATCAGCAATCTTTAATATTCAACAAACTGAGAAATATGATCAGTGACTTCTTATGATGTGTATGTTTTAGAATAAAATTACATATAACAACATTGAGAATGATACTGTTAAAAGCACTGAAAAACCAGGATAATAGTTTTTACACAAAGAAGAATATACTTACTATTTGGCAAAATGGCAGCAACTGGGCTCCTGTCTATTAGCACATAGCTACTAGGATCAATGCAATCATCCAGCTTGATTAATCTCTCCTGGGAGCACTGTGCCATGCCATGATCACTTGTAATGATAACATTAATTTCCTCCCACAACTTTGAAATTTTAAGCTTTTCAACAAGAAGGCCAATAAGTTTATCTACTTCTTGTAATACTTTAGTCATGTTCTTAGTATCTTCCGGTCCATACTTGTGTCCACTTGCATCTGGTTCTTCCCAATAAAGAGTAGCAAAAGTAACTAATGGATTAGAACTATTCAGCCATTCAATAATCTTTTCTACACGTTCACTGAAGCTTACTGAAAAATTGTATTTCATAAAAAAGTGAGGAAGAGTATTGTGAATTTTTACATCAGTGCCAGGCCACATTGCAGAGGCGCTTGTTTTGTTCTCCTGCAATTCATTGCTCACCCAAATAGGAATTGCTTCATTCCACCAGAAAGGATCTGTATCATTAAACTGTGAAAATTTCTTCTTTGTATCAACATCAAACATTTCATTTGCTACGATACCATGGCTTTCTTCATATAGGCCTGTAACTATACTATAGTGGTTTGGAAAGGTTTTTGTGATGAAAGCATTGGTAACATGTTCAACTAATACACCAGCCTTAATAAAATCTTGGAGATGTCGAAGTTCATATTTCTTCAGATAATCAGCCCTGAAGCCATCAAAAGACACCAGAAGTAATCTTGGTACTGACTTGGTAACAGATTTACCACTGGAGTAAGAAACTATTCCATTAAAGAGGAGTACTACTAATAAAAGCATTCTGGATAAGATTTCAAAATGTATAGTAAACAAGGATAGATACCTGAAAGGAGGAAAAAAGAAACGAAATCTTCATTAAGAATTTCAATCCAAAAGAATTATTTTCATCCTAGCCAAGCACTGAACTCAATTTCCAATAAATTCAGTTTATATTCTATTTAAGAAAATTGCTAATTATAACTACACATTTCCACATATTTTTCAACAGTTTTTTCCTACATAGTAGGGGCTGGGAACCTTTTCTAGCATAATAATGGCCTTGGTTTCTACAAGGCCAAATCTAGTATGAAATCATAGAAATCTCACAAGATTTCAGTAGATTCCTATATTCTCATATGAGATTGCCTATTGAGGGCAGGAATATCACACTACCAATATTTCAAGAGCTCAACCCATTATTATTAAGCAGCATAGGCTTTCCTCTGACTTATATTACAGGCAGTCCCAAGTTTAAGAATGAGTTCCGTTCCCAAGGTCTGTTCTTAAATCGAATTTGTATGTAAGCCGGAACAGTATTATTGCATAGTACCATATAAGTAGTATTGTGTAATTAACTCGAACCATTGTGCATTTAACTCAACTCATTGTGAATTTAACTGGAATTTTGCTACAACAGGCTCCATTCTTAACAATGGGTCCACTGTAGAGCGGGAGTTCTTAACCCGGGGACTACCTGTATTTGGGTTCTCTAACTGGTTACAAGATCAGAAGTTCAGAATGCTGAGATACAGATCACATAAGCCTTACTATTTTACTCTCACCAACCTTTTAATACCATTATTTTTCTTTTCTGTTGAGCTTGATCTGATTACTATATCTTAATCTCTTGCAAAGGCACTGACAGTGAAGTCTCCACATTTTTCATCAAAAACAACTTTTTAGAGTTACTGTTCTTTCTATAAGAACATTTCCAATCCATTCTCATTCCATTTTTTTTTTTTTTTTAGCATTTGGCAACTTCAAATTAGAATTTAGGCATAATTAAAGTTCTGAAGAAATACTACTTATATACGGCTAGAATACAGAAATGTAGCTTGAGTGATTTAACAGAAAAATCACCCCACAGGGTTGCTGCTGTAGGGAAAATAGGAGGCAGGAACATTATGTATGCCACCTGGAGTTTTACAAAAATACAAGCAGGATATTATTAATATTAATAGGGTTCTCTCTTTTTTGTTTTTGCTTTCTTCGTAAGTTAGGGTATTTGTTTTTTTTAAAAAAGATTAATCTAATATAAATAGTATAATATTGAAATCCCAATGGGACAAACTATATCCTCATTTAAGAATGTAACATATGACACTAATACATATTCTTTTAAAAGCATTAATGTCCAAAGCAAAGCCTATAATTTTTGGTAGCATGGTATATCTCTATCCCAAGCCTGCAAATACTTTCAAGAGGCTCATCAAAGAAAATGAGATAGCGTAAAACATAGGTAGTTGATTGCCTGAATGCTAAATGGCATATATGACAGTTTTGATGAATTTGGTATATGAAATGTTTTGAATGAACAACAGAATCTACATATATTCTGTACTACAGGTCAACAATATGGCATTCACATAGGATCCACTGGGATACAGTGGATGCATTTAGGATACACTCATATAGGATCCACTGGGCCCCCCAAAAGCTCCCCTGCTCTCAAAAGTAAGTTTTAATCCCCTCCAGCCCCTATCTTGCAAGATGCCCAAAACTGATTGAGATTTTGGCTATGTAAAAGCAGAAATAATACAATAACTTTATTATGGTCTTAGATCAGAACAGAAATCATGTTATAAACAGTAACATTATGACAGCATTAATAAGGTTAGTCAATGTCAACTCCTATATTCTAGTTCAGTGTTTCTTAAAAGTGTGGTACTAGGACCCCCGGGAGTCACCCAGCACCCTTTCAGGAGTCCGTGAAATCAAAATTAATTGTCAGCCTATGCTGAAAAATAATACAATATTAAAATCCCATCAAACAATTGTGAGAAGCGGTAACAGCAGTGAATGCGTCAATTTTAATTTTTAATATGGTAAGTATCGATAAATATCATCCATACAAACAAAAGCTCTTTTGAGGTCCTCCATAATTTTTAAAAGTGGAAAGGGGTTCTGAGAAAAAAACGTTTAAGAAACACTGTTCTAGACAATATAATTTGATATCCATCCCATGGAAGATACAGTAGCCATGTTTGTCTTGCCAAAAAAGCAAAACATTGCAACTAATTATGTTACTCTCTGGTCCACATCAGCAAGTAAATCACTACAACATTTATTGATGTAACCTGGGAAACTGGTTAATAAAGGCTGATTTACCCTTAGTGCAAATCAGCATAAAACCTGTGATTCATTTTAATTATCTCAACCTCTCCTGCAGGAGCTCTAGAAAGTTGGAATTTTATTGTATTTACCTCCCAACAGTGCCAAAGGGAAAGCATTACAGCAGACTCTCAGGCTCATTACTTCAAAACAACGGGCAAAGTAATTAGAATGAAAATAGATGAGTTGCAGGGAAGATTTTCTGGTTCTTCTTAAAAAGGTGATAGATTCCTATAGTTTGGGATATAGGTAGTTCTCAACTTACGACCACTTACGACTTTCTGTTGCTAATCAATGCAGTTGTAAAGTGTGACATCATGTGATTGCATCACTTAGCAATGCCAATCTTGGCACTCTCTGTTGCCACCGTTAAGTGAATTCCACTAGTCATTAGCTGAGGACCCACCCCAATCCTAACCATTCCAGGCTTGGTCCCTCCCAGCCCCGAACTTTGGTTCTTCCAAGGTAAGGGACTGCCTTCCCTTGAATTCCCCCCAACTGCCTATTGCCCATCATCTCTGCCTTTTGGCCACCCTGCACCCTGCCTTGTGAGGTGGCAAGCAGCCCCAGAACCACATAGCCATGGTGTGGCTCAGGGGCTTTTTGGCCACCCCTGGAAGCCTCAGCCACCCCAGCCTGGCCCAGTAGCACAGCACAAAACCGCAGCATCCTGGGAAGCTCCAGCAGCATGGCACAAGGCAGCAGCCTCCCAGGAAGCCCCAGCAGCGCAGTGCAAAGCTGCAGCCTCCCAGGAAGCCCCAGTGGTGTGAAGCTGCAGCCCAGGGCAAAGCCCTAGCCAAACCAGGAAGCCTCAGCCTCCCCAGCCCAGCTGCCCTGCACTCCAAGACCCCTGCTGCCCTGCACTCCGCCATCCCAGGTAACCTTTGCTGTCTTCTTGCTCCCACTGCTGATGAAGCATGCCCACCCTGGCCCTTTCCCAGGTCTTGCGAGGAAACTGCTGTATATGATCTTGGAAAGAAAGCCTCATGCAGCCAGCAGCTGCCTCATGAAGGGCCAGGCCAGGCATGCTTGGTCAGCAGTGGGAGCAAGAAGACAGTGAAGGCCAGATAGGGCAGCAGGGGCCATGGAGTGCAGGAGGCCAAGAGGGCATAGATCGGGGGGGAGAGTGGGGAGAGTTGAAGTGTCCCTGAGTTCGTAAGTGTGAATGGGGTACTAAGCGCCTGAATTTTGATCACATGACAGTGGGAGCGTTGCAATGGCCATAACTTTGGGGACCAGCTGTAAGTCCCTTTGTTCAGTGCCACCGTAACTTCAAGCAGTCACTGAAAGAATGGTCATAAGTTGAGGACTACCTGTATGTTGTTTGGGTGCTCTACATCCTGAATCCACTGTTCTTCTTTAGTTTTATCTACCCAAGAATAACAAATATTCCAGAGAAAGGCAATATAATTTTAATTTGTTCATTATTTATTTATATTTCAAATTTAGATACTGCCCATCTCACGAGGAAGTGACTCTGGGCGGTTTCATAATGCTGTTTCATAATGATACATGATTATCAGATACTAAAAATAGTTTGACTGGAACCAAATGGATCCTCAGCTGCACTAATATGATAGTTTTACTAATTATGGCTTCATTCTGATCAGCCTGGCCTCAGTCTCAAGGCCATGTTTGAAACACATCTGGGGTCATAGAGAGAGATTTTAGGAAGTCTAACAGACTTTTTCAAGAGGTTCAAAATAATTAGGCCTAATTAAACCCTACATAATAATTCTCTGCCAGCTTTGCAATGAAGAATTTAATTATGGCTGGAATCAAGTTCCTTCCCTGTGTACAGTAGAATCTTAAAATAACTATTACACTTTTTTGTGTGGGGAAAAGGCATAGTTGATTTCTGCACATTTCCTACTGAAGGCTTGGAAGACAGCTCCTAGATATTCAAAGCACTTAACCTGCTTTAAGGGTAGGTTTTCTCCTTATGCCATTTATGAGTCTTAGGGTAGTTGGAGATAACCATTATTCTAGTTGTTTGGTTATTAATAATCAACAGTTCCTACATGCAGTATCAAGCATGAAACTTAAGGGCTCTCCTGAAGCCTACCTGGGTCAGTGGTGGTGGTGGCATCAGCACAGAGCTGTACAGATAGATGCTTTTTGCCATTTGGGGTCATGTGGATCTAGCCCCTGTGGGGATTTGGTAAGAGAATTTATATAGAAATTAAGCAAATATGATGCCAAAATAAACCCCTTGGCAGTTATAATTGGGTTTTAGAATTGTCTTGTATGGCTCCATTTAACTCTGAATCTTGTTTTGTCAGAAACCTTATCAAACCAGTCTTTTATTGTTAGAATTCTTAAATTTATCCCACATGTATATCTTGAAATGGGGTCAAAGGTTGCCCTGAAGACCAAAATGCCACATACAGCTACTTGTACTACTGGTGTATTTGTGTATTAAATGCTCTAAAATCAGACAATGATCTACCATGGGTCTTCCTTCTCTTAAGACCATTTGCTCATCCCTGGGAATATTCTCCTGGCCTTGCAAATCACAGAACTTACAACATAGATGTCTAGTATATAATTTGTGGATAATGTACAGCCAACTAATTGGTTTATAATTTGCAGGATGCTTTCTATTACCGTTCTTTAAAAAATGGGAACTAGATTGGCCACACACAGCAATTTCATGCCACTCGATTTGGGGTCTCTGAGTAGATACTTCCATCAGAGCACTGGCAATTGTAAGGAAAGGGCTTGTGTGCTGTGGAGAATCTTCACCCCTGAACAAGAGGTTTAGCTGCCAAATTATTAAAAGCAGGATGTAATCCTTGTTTACAAAACATTAAATATTTTCTGTAGTAGTAACAAACATGTCACTCAGGTCAATTAAAACATGACAGATAAGTATAAAAATGCATGAGAAATCAATTATAAAACTAACATTCTAATCCAGCGCAGGTAACTTACAGAGTTACGTTAAGAATACATTGATTTATAAACAATAGAAAGGGCAACTGCAGTTTAAAAAAAAAGTTATATAGGAACAGTTAAAATATACTATTTCATATGAATATTATTTTTCTTCTTACTCCATTCCTTCTTTTTTTGCCTGCAGAACTTCATCAACCAAGTTTTACTTCTTAATTTAAAATAGTATATTAAGAATATGCTATTTTATAATTGGCTTATATTATACAATATACTTGGCTCTGAACTCCCAACAATATATTTTCAACAATTAGCATTCATCTCAAGCTAAACAAAACAATAATGCCAAAACTACAGTTGCAGTATTTTCTTCGTCACAGATCAGCGTCACCTTTCTGGAAACACTTAAAACCATACTAGAAAGAGGAACCGAACAAAAAGAAAGTGCTTTGTCATTTGATCATTAGCATCTGCTAGATTTCAGCATGTAATGCCCAGCAATTGCATAAGTATGAAAAACCCCGGCTCTTCCGACTCTTTAACGGAGCACAAATTTCAAGGCTTCAATACCGAATCGCTTCGACTCAGGCTCAACCTCAAAGGACTTCCTCATTTTGCGACCAGTTTAGGCAGTGGCAACTCTCTCCTCTGCCTCACCTGTAGCGGTCACAGCCAAGAGGGGACTCCACCCGCGCAGATGACCGCGAAAGGCCTCGGGCGGTTCCCGGCCACGACCCGGAGCTTGGGATGGGGGGCAGGCAGAGGTCACGGCCGCCCCCCAGACAACGAACTGCGGAAACGAGGGGGACTTGAGCCCCTCGAACCTCTCCTCCTACCCGAGTCCCAGACTCACCCACGAGACGAGGAAGAAGAGCGGGGAAGGGAATACTCTCGCGAGGGAAAGAAGGAAACGCTCAACCCTCCGTCGTTTCGCCTTCCCCACCGCAAGACGAGACGCACCTGCGCACTTAAGTCGCCGCCGCGAACCCCCAACGGCCGGCGGGCTTAGTCACAGTTAGCTCCGACGGAGGCCGAAGGAACGGCCCGCCCTCGGCTAAGTCTGAGGGTTCCTTTCTCTCGAATTCTGATTGGTCGCCTTGACGATAGTGTTGTCAAGCGGTCGCGCGCGCGTGGGTCGGAGAAGCGGGGAGCAGGTGCACGGTAGGGGAGGGGCAGCGGGTGGGGCTTTGCGACGCTCGAGAGATGGATTTATTGTAGGGGGCGGAGCTTAAAAAAAAGGACAGACGAGAGGGGGGAAGTAACGCGAGCTGACGCCTTAGGATTATGGAGCGGCTTTGTGGCGACGTCAGGAGTAATGCTGAAGCGAAGCAAAAAGCCGTTCCTGAAGTCTTG